GGGAGCAGTTGGGAGGAGCTGGGGTGATGCTTAAGGAAGGGTTCGGGAAACTTCAGCTTGTCCCCTCGGTGAAAAAAGACCAAGTACATATCATCGTGCGAGGAATTAGACATGGTGCTCAATGACATGTGGGGTCAGTACGGGTTCAAGTCGCAAGTTGCTGTCCGTTCGCTGGGGTGTGACGCAGTGGCAAGACGCCTACGGCGAAACCCTACTGCGCGTGCTAGGCTTTTGAAGGCGTCTAAGCGGTCCAGAAGATTGTCGAGACTGAAGAATGCAGGAGCATTTGTGGGCAACCTTCAGCGCGCTGGACCCCAAGCTGCAGGACTCTTGGGATCTGCGGTGGCAGGATTGCGCCCCAAGCAGTTGCATGCCATGAGGCTTGCAGCAGCCCGCAGTCTGACCAAGGACAAGCCGGGGCCCCTCATGTCGTTCAGGCTCAGGCTACACCCTGTGGGAGCCCGTATGGACCCATCTCTTATTTACCATACAAATGTGGTTTTGCACTGGTGTAGGGCGATCTGGGATGGGTCTCCTGGACTGGATGTTATGCAGTTGGTATTTGAGAAAGCTGTGGACAACCTCTGGAAGGTCAAGAGACCTTGGAATATTTGTACCAGCCCAGCACATATATATTTGCTCACGCTGCGAGAGTTAGGCTGGACGCCTTCCTCTGCAAGACAGGTCTCGACTGCTCAAGGTGAAGTGGTTGGCCTGCTCTCTCTATCGCCTGTTATGGTCAGCAGTCTTGCGCAGCGTAATGCAGGACACTGGGCGGACAAACGTGCTCTCCTTCTCAGGCCTAAGCTCAACGGGGTCTGGTGTAGACCTGTTCTGTGGGAAGGGGCCAGAGACCTCCTGAAGCTTGGGAGTAAGCACGTCTGGGGACAACACCACCAAGCGTGTGTGAAAAAAACATCGTTCGCGTTAGGTACCTGGACTCAGGCTCGCCTTAAGGACCATGGGCTGGCCGATGACGACATCTGCCAGCTGTGCCACTCCAGCAAGGGTACTCTTTTTCATAGGAGGGTCGAGTGTGAAGCCTTTGACGGAGATAGACGTCAATACGTACCTGCCGCATGTTCGGCGGCTGCGAGAAGGGCTAAGGAATGGGGTCAGGATCTGGAGAAATGCTGCTGGGGTGCTTCCCCATCCTCGGGAGCTGATCCCTCCGCCTCTCTCCCCGTCTGCGTGTCGAGTGTTCTGGTTCAACAGGCGGGCCTCAGGTAGGCTCAGCGGTAGAATCTCCACTGGTGGCTCTGCGATCAACCCCCAGTGCGAAGATATCCGCAGAGTTGGGTGGAGTTTGGTCCAAACCAATGAATTCGGTGATGTGATTTCGGCGGCCTACGGGCCTGTGCCTCGAGAGGAGGCCCCGTGGCAACAGGCCCGTGACGGTGAGGACTCCGCCTACAGAATGGCGTCAGAGCTTGTTGAACCGTTTTCAGATAATACGTTTTTCAAAGACTGCCAGGGGACCCTCAGCTGTGTTTGGGACAGGGCCAGTAGTTGCTCTTCTTAGAACCCTCGGGCCCATCTCTGGACCAAGGTTTGGCATGTTTTTGAGAATGGGCTGTCTGGGTTTAAAGTAAAGGGTCATGCTAGCGCAGGAGACGTGCTTAATGGCTGCTGCACGGAAGCTGAGCGGCTTGGCAACAAGCATGCCGACAGATTTGCGAAGCTTGGAGCTGCGTGCCACCCTATGCCTGAGCAGCTCTTGGAAATCCGTTCTGTGCTGGTTGAGCACCAGAAGGAGCTGCTCAGATGGGGTGGCACGCAAGATGTCACAATGGCTGATAGAGGTTGGGAGGACTCGTCTGGCTTCCCTAAGCCCGTCGAGGTGAGAGGAAGCAACGAGTGCGAGCCCCAGGTGCAGCCGTCCAAATCTTCTTCTGCCAGGCAGTTTGCACGTCTTTGCAAGGAAGGCCGTCGGAGGTGGGCACCGCGCGTTGATTTCAAGGTGCCTCTGCTCTCTGACACGGCCGAAGGCCTACCATATGAGGTCTTATGCGAGACCACCCTCCTGTCCAGGCTGGAGGGCCACAACCTTTGCAACGCAGAGGTTTTTGTCAGGGACGGCGGGAGGGCGGCTGGGAGCGGGTGGGTGATCTGCTGCTTGAAGTGCGGTGGATATGCATGGTCAGGGGTCATGCCCCTTGCTGGCAAGTGTTTCGGCCAGCCGAGGGCGAAGAACCTCAGACGACGCAGATCGAGGTTTCTGCGTGGTGAGTTTCCCTCGTGGGCGAAGCAGTATGCAGGGTGGACTGTTTCTGGGCATGGCTCCCCGCCCCCCCTGGACCTGCTGTCCCTCCTCAGGGCCGCGCACAGAGGGATCCAGGTCAGGCGAGCTGATGACAAAGATCATGCCGCTGCTGATCCAGGCCTGTGGGAGGAAAGGTGGAGCCCTGCCCAGCTCCTCTCAAGGTATGGCCTGGTGACACCCGCTCCGCAGTCACACGTTACTGGGTAAGTGTGTTTTGTGTTTGGGGCTGCTGGCACTCGACGGCCGCTTCCATCGAGTACAGTACAGTACAGCGAGACCATTGGGCACGACACGCAACGGCAACCCTTGGCAACTTCGACCACTAGGCACTGCCGGCGGCGCCGCAGTTCTGCCGCATGTTACGCGGGGGCACGGCAGCAGGACCAGACCAATGGGCTCCCTCGGAGCTTGTGCTTCTCCCAGAAGAGGCGCTGGAGGAGCTGGTGGACCTCCTCGTCTACTCCGAGGAGCACGGATGGCCTACGCACCGCTGCAGTGGCGCCAGGTCCACCTACCGAAAGACCCAAACACAGCGCTCCCGAGCCTGACGCGACTGCGCCCAATCGCAATCGCGAGCACTGCGGTCCGCGCCTGGCACAGGTGGAGGGCAGACCAAATTCTTACTTCAGCCCCGCCTTCCTGCCCACGCAGGGAGGCGGACTCAAAGGGAGCACCCTCGAGTCCCTCATTGAGCCTTGCCTTTCGCTCATTGTGAAGACTATCGCAGCAAGCCGCTACGGCGACAGAGACGGCGACCTCGGTGGCCTCACGGGGGAAGAGCGACGTTTGCTGCGAGAGAGACAAGCCGAACTTCACGCCGAATCGTGGGGCTACGTATCTGCTTTCGACCGGGTTGCTCCGCGGATCGCGGGCGAGATTTGGGGTCGACTTGGGGCGCCGACCAAGATCGCCGACAGCAGCGTGCAAATCTGGGCGCGACAGGAGCGGTTGATAGAGATGGGGCAGCTTCTCTCACCACGCACGATCAGCGTCCAGCGCAGTCTACCTCAGGGGGCCCTGCCGCAATGCTCGGGATGGCCACCGTGCTCATAGGGCCTCTACGACGCCAAGCTGCACTGCGCCCACGAGCAGCCTCCTGCACCGTTGCGGACGACCGCACGGCGGCCACTACCACCGAGGACGAACTACGGAGCATCGAGGAGGAATGGGACATGCTGGAGTCCGTCACCGCGCTGCGCACCAACACCAGCAAAAACCAGGCTTTCACAATCCTTCCGCACCAGTGCGACAACCACCACTTGCAGGGCAAAAGGATGGAATGCTTTGGGATCGACTTCGCCATGCAGAGGGCCACGCTCGCAAGCCAGGAGCGAGGCAAAATCGAGGAGGCGCTTCCGCGCATGAGACGGATGGCGTGTCTACCCCTGAGCATGCAACTGCGCGCGATTGCGGTGGCCACCATTGCGCTGCAGGTGTCGAGCTGGGCACTCGTTGTCACGCCGCCGACAAAGATTGCTATCCAAGAACACCTACAACGAGCACGGAAAGCCATGACATTACGGAAATGGCCACGAGCCTCTCCCGAATTTTTACGATTGGTTGCGATGGGGCGCAGTAGTGGCTTGCGCTTCCATCCGGCGAGCACTGCAATTCTGGCTAGCAGACTACGAATCATTATCAATGCCGATATGAAGGGGCCCATCAACGCACATCGCGCCCACTTGTCCTTCTTGGGAGCAGCGAGGTGCGACGACGACGGCTTTTGGAGAGGCCCACGGGGGGAGGTGCGCCTCACCGACAGAGCAGACGGACAACTACACGGTCTACGGCTGATACTCAGATCCCAAGAATGCGCCATCCTCCAGGGACGGAGCCGACGGGAGAGCCCTATGGCAGCCGGAGTGCCCGCCCCGGCTGCCGCCGTCCGCGCGGCACAGGAGGCGCAGAACAACAACCCGACCATCGCCGCCCACATCGCCTCAGTGCTGTGTGGTTGTGTCGTCCTCCGACGCACTGCTGGAGTCCAACAACGGGGAGGAGGTCTCGACCACGTGCGACCACTTGTGGGGAACACGTTCCGACCCTCGACCGCATGTACTGCGCATGCACAGCCAACGCCGACCTGCGGCGAGGCATCGCGACGCCGACGGCGGACCTCACGCGCAGGCTGGGCTGGCCGGCGGAAGACGTCACTTGCAGAACAACCACCGCATGGATCGCCATGGTGCTGGCTATGGCACGCATCCGGCCGGGAGCGTGCGTTGCAGCACCGGCACCAACGACCACCGACACACCTACCAACGACCACGACTCACATTATATGTTTACAACCGACGCATCAGAGTGGCTCAATTGGTACTCGTATGGTGCCTGGGCAGCTAGCTTGGTTCCCCTTTGGGCTTTTAGTTTTGCTTTGCTTGTGTTATTGGAATAGCATGGTGGTCATATATTTTGTACTACACGTATGTGTTGGGCAATAACATGGCGGTTCAACATTGTGTGTTACATGTATGTGTGTTGGGAAATGTTACGGTGTGGGTTTGTTGTGCAGTTCAGTGCAATGACGGGCCAGGTACACCATATGACGTATCTGCATGTGATGCGATGGTTTGACTTTACGTGTGGGGCCGGGAGGGACCGTTCTTGAATAACGGTCGCGGCAACTCTTCGAGTTGCGTGGTGCCCCCACACGCCTACGGATTGGGGACACAGGTTGGTTTGACCCCCCGCAAGAGGACATGCGTTCCACGAGGCCGAGGACCACACGAGGCTCATCATGCTGCAGTACCAGAGGAAGCTGCGTTGCATGCGGGTGAGGGACACGCATGCTTCGATGATCATGTCTAGGGCCACGAAGCGTAGTTACTACCACTACATGTTCGACATCATCGCGCACGTCGTCCTGCTCCTGGACATGTGTCAGGGCTTCTGGACGTTCTCTTGGAAGTACTTGGACGAAATGGAGTTCAATGCCAAGTTCCCAAAGGTCGATACAGGCCAGTGGAAGGCATTGGAGGTCATGAGTTACGTCAGCTTTTTTTTCTTGGTGCACCAGGTTTATTTCCGGGCGAATCCTTGCATCTTCGGGCGGTCCTTCGCGGACGTGTTGGATGGGGTGGCAGTGACGTTTATGTTCGGCACCCATTTCGCATGGGCGGGCGAGGTTCCGTCCTTCAACACCGCCCCCTCTCACATGGCCGTGTTTTTGCGCGGCTCGTTCGCGCTATGGCGCATCGCGCGCATCTACGCCGCGAGTCAGGTCCTGCGCATGGGCGACGCCAGTTTTAAGTTGCGAGTCGAGCACGACCTCGTCAATAACGGGTAATTCGGCGTTCTCTGGATCGTGCGAGGAGGAGACGGCTTCGCGGCCAATATGCTTGGAGCTCGAGGACATGATGACGGACTTGCTCAAGAAGTTCAGCCTTTGGCAGTTGGATCTCCTCGTCGGCCTCGACATCTACGTCACGGGCATGACCCCAGCCGAGGAGCAGGGCTCCGGAGGCTCATCCAGGGATCGGCGATCGAGAGTTGCGCGCACTTCGAGCGCCCCGACGTTGTCGAGTGGGTGGTCAAGAGGATGTCGGACGTGCTCAGGGACATTTTGCACGACAGGTGCGCCACCACGGGCGGTTCCATGATCGCCTTCTGTGGGAGTCCTGCGGTGGGCTTGCAGGTAAGCCCAGGAGTGCAGGAGGCGAACATGTTCGCTAGCGTGCTGCGGATGGCTGGCTGCCGCATGGCGTTCCAGGAGGAGTACTACGGCGTCGTGGGAGGCAAGCCGAAGGCGCTGGTGCGAAGGAGGTCTCTGTAGCCAGCGCTGCAGCGCCTGAGGATCGGACAACAGAACCAGAATCGATCAAAGAAACAGAGTCAATGTGACTCGTAGCGAACTCGAGAGACCTCATCGACTTCGCGGCGGCGTCGTTTCAATTTTTATTCACGAATTCATCCATGACGTCGGCGCCTGTTCCCAGGAGTGTGACATTTTCGTGGCTCCAGCCGGCCACCAATACCCGCTTCGACAGCGAAATCTCAGTGCTCATGGTTGTCGGGAATGCCGGCGTCTGCATCGAGTACCCGTTTATAGCATCATTTTCGTGCTCATGGCTGTCGGGGGGGCCCCAGCTTGTGCACAGAGTACCCCTATGCGTACAACATCCTCGGGTTCACGGCAGCCTACTATTGGATGCAATACGTTTTGTATGTCGGCGCCGACATGGCGCGCCTCGCCTTCGGCTACCACATCCTCGCCTAGTTGCCTCTGGGTGCCCAGTAAGCGGTCCTGCTCCCTGGGCCCTGCTGGATGGCTCCTTGAGAGCCTCGGGGGTTCGCCTCCTTCACGCGTCCGGGTCTTTACGCCGCCGACGGAGATCGCCTCCTTCGCGCGGTACGCACCACGGTTGGAGCTTATCTTTTGTACATAGGGTTCTCCCGCTCCTCCTATTCTTTCCTGAGCATTTCCCCATGTTTCTTCTCTTGCCCCTGGTGAACCGGTGATCTGCCAAGAGCTTCCCTCTGTTCTGCCGCGAGTGTGGTGCGGAGCGGCAGTCGCGAGCAGGCACCTCCGCATCTTCACGATTTGATATGGTTGAAGTTGCTTAGAGCTCCAGCCAACAAGTGAGCCCCGTGCCGACCAGGCAGTCGCGTCGAAACCAGGGGGTGGACGCACAAGCGGGTCTCATCAGAGGAGGAAAAGGAGGAGGAGGAGGAGGAGGAGGAGGAGGAGGAGGAGGTGAAGGAACTCAGCTCTCTCAGTGGTCGTCCAGCAGCAGCCTTGCTGGAACCTTGTGGGTTCGCAGGCTTCCGCTGCTCGCCGAGCCGTTCAGGGCCCCACAGATGGCTGGCCTCTCTGAACAACGGCGGGGCAGCGCTCTGTCCTTGTTCTCTGGGGGGGGGATGGTGAGGTGCGCTTAGGCCCGGCATTTCTGGGAGGCCACTTCCTAGCCAAGGGTGCGCCTCCCGGCTTCTTTGCCGTTATTGTGTACATCTCTTTCCTCTTTCCTCTATCCCCCGTTCCAGGGTTATCAGACCGGGCGGGCGCGTCTAGTTTTGTCTGTGCATGGCATTTCTGGGAGGCCTTAAGCCAAGGGTTGCCTCTGGGCTTATCCCGTGGAAAGGACGTCGGTCCCTGTGTGCAGATCTCCTCCCTCGCCTCTTCACATTCACCTCCGAACCTCCTCCACCTTCGCCTGCGCAGCCGTCGGCGATCCTAGACCCTGGTGAGGGTCTGCGCATCGATCGACGCTGGTCTCGCCGACGGCTCGGCCGATATTTACGTGTCCCGTCCGAGGAGGAACGTCCCGATATATAATATGTTTGGACGACAGCATTGCGTGTGACGGCGCTGTCTCCAGGCCCGCACTCGCGACATGTCGAGTTCGCCTCTCCTTTATCTTTGCCTGCACAGTCGTCATCGCTTGTAGGCCCCCCGGCGGGGGTCGACGAGGGACGCGGGCGCCGCCTGCTCCCACATTCGCGACATGTCGAGGTCGCTTCTCCTTTACTTTTGCCTGAATTTTCGGAGTGGAGTATCGCGCTAGTGTTGCGGCAGACAAGGCGAGACGGGGACCGCGAAAAAAACATGAAACATCAAAATATGTGGTACGGGCTGATGTGTGTAACTTATGTAGTGTAAGTTCTGTGGTGCAGTATACGTGATAAAGGTTGTGTGGTAAACGCTATGAGGTGCAAGCCAATATCGGAAACAAGAACATATACTTTATCAGTGGCGGGCAGTTTGTCAATGGGCAGGGCTTTTTAAGGGTCGGGGTCGACGTCGGGGTGGTGTCTTGTTTACTTGTTATTTCCGCTCCCAGGGGAAACAACGAGTACACCAGGATCCCGTATGCACCAGGATCCGCTTTCCTGTGCGACTTTCAGTGCATGGCCGGAAATAGCCTCGGTGTACAGAGTTCGGTTCTTTAGCAAGTTACGTGGTGCGATATACGCGATAAAGGTTGTGTGGTGAACGCTGTGAGGTGAAAAACACAACGCGGCCACCCGGCTCACGATGCGCCCACGAGGCGCTCGCGAGCGGGCATCGGGCGCAGCCTCGGCCGACCCACCCGGCGCGCGAGGCACCCACTGGGCATTCACGGTTGGCATATGCTACGTGGTATGCGCCCCCCCCTTTCCAGGGGCGACGCGTGCACCGAGAAATATTATGATGTATGCGCCGTGGCGGGCACGTTTTGGCCACACCGCTCGGGAAACGATATACTACTACAAGGTGGGTATACTATCTGTTCGGGTCGGACGCGCGCCTCCAAGGACGGCATGTAGTACTAGTATGACTCTGTGCGTCCCATCTGAGTGCAGGCCTTGTTCGTGGAAGCACGCCCGGCGGCGTCCATTGATCCCACATGCCAGCCAGCGTAGGCCCAGAATAGTTGTGTTTCTCTTATGTATGCACATTTTTTAATATATATATATATATATATATATATATATGTGAGTTATCACGCGTTCTCCACAGGAGGGTAGGCTTTCGGACACACGAGACCCCTGACTGGTCGCGTGCGCAGCCACCCTTTTCTGCTCGGGAGGTCCGCCCGGGCCGCTTTGAGAGACAGCACGTTCGCCCTTTCGCAAGATAAACTGCATTTTCTATACTCAGTTGTGCGCGACGTGATTGCGCTCAACGCCCCGGCTCGTGAGCCGACTTGCCACTGTCATGTTGAGGGAACCTCCCAGTGTGACGCTGCCACGGAAGCCGGGGGGTGCCACCACATCGAGCGGATCTTGTCCCGTCAGTTCGACTCGGTGCAAAGGCAACTGAGTTCGACCATCACGATTCAACTGTGTGTGAGCCTCGTATTCAGTCTGAGCCTGCTGAGTTTCATCGTGGGGCTCTTGATCGGGAGGTATCCTGGACGGCGAATTTCTCCTGTCTCTTCCTCGACTACGGTCTCGGATCAGGTCCTGCGAGGACGCAACGGGCCTGTCACACCTTCGTCTTTACGGCTCGCTGATAAATCATGAGCGCTCTTGGCATCAAGGAGAAACAAGTCTTGGTACGATACGCAGATGACCCGAATTTCACGTGGTACCACATAATTTTGGCGGTTCGTATCTCAGCTGGCCGGTGGGTGGTCCTCACGCCCACTCATGACTTGCAGATATTGGACACGGCAACAGTCCGGTTCGAACCGCTGGCGAAAGGCCGGCCCGTTCCAGACCGCTGTCGCCAGGACTGCTTTCTTTTCGATCCGATCCCGGTGCGGGAGCTCAGCGAGGCCATCGCCAGGGCCAAGGTGTTGGCTGACATTGCAGGCGACTGGGTCGTCAGCGACCCGTCGCACCCCCGCTTTGGTGAGTAGGTGGAACCGGGCATCTTTGATGACGCCGCGCGGGCCCTGCTGCGCGAGACTAAGGGGGTGGTCCAGCTCGATGCGAACGACACGGGCTCGGATGTGCATGTTTCGAGGGTCAACTCCAACAACATTGCCGAGTGGAAGAGCAGGGTCGGCGGAGGAGGATATCTTCGGTTGCTGGGCACCTTCCGCAGTACGGGCGGCAAACGCTTCCTGCAGACCAAGGATGCCGTCGGCAAGCTTGAGGATACAAAGTTCGATGACTTCCCTTTCGACGACTCTCGTGCTGCCAAAGAGTACCTGGACGGGATCGAGACCACCGACGGCTCGTTCGACACCTACCATCAGAACTGGTGCGTGGCGGCGGGGGTCTCGCCGAACAGCGGCATCTCCCACGATCACCGCATCATCTTGGAGGCGTTGCGCTTGGGTCTCACGTATGACCAGATCAACCTGGCAAACTCGGCCATGGGTGAGCAGCTCGTCGGGAGGCTCATCCAGCAAATGCTCGCGGTGGAGAAGGACGCGAAGCACCCGGACTACACTGGGCTCGGCTACATGCTGGCGGGCTCTACTGAGGATCGGGGGAGAGTTGCCGCCCCGAAGTTCACCAAGTGGGTCGCCGAGAAGCAGCGCCAGCGGGCCTTCACGCTCAAGCAAAGCCGACTGCTACGAGAGGAGAGACAGGCCGACGAGAAGAGGCGTGGCAAGGGCCCCAAGGGGTCCAAGGGCGGCGGCAAGTCTGGCGCCGCCGGCTCGAGTCAGAACAACGGGGGCTGAGGCCCCCTCGGGGCGTGGCGCTGGTGAGTACCTGGTCGTCAGCGTCGCCCGTTCTCTTCTACAGGTAGGAGCTTGCGGTCAGTTGCCTCGAGCTCCGGGTTTTGTTCGCCGCGGTCGTGACGATCGTGGTAAGCGGCATGGCGATCCCTTTCCTCTGCCTGTCCGCTTGGTCAAGGGCTCCTCCAAGGGGCCCGGGCGCCGGTGGCGAGGAGTGCGTGGACGTGCTGTGCTGGACATCAAGACCAGCGTCTTCTGGAGTCCGCTCGTTCGCTCAACTTCCTGTATCGCACCAGAGTGTGTTCAGACAAGGGCGGTCTTTACGAGGGTAGCCCGGGCAGGTTCAGTTCTTCTCAGATGTCGATATTGAGTTCGGTTGATGATCGCATCAGCCTGCACGGCGATCGGCCGCCTGACCTGACCCCGCTTGACGCACTCAAAGAAGTATGCAAAGCGAAAGGCCTCTACATTCAGGAGCCACAGCACATGGCGCACTACCTTCCCGAGAAGTTGAAGGTGACGAAGGGCGCGACTTTCTCGCTGCCTCTTGAGTCTGTCCCCCCCCCCCAGCTGTGTTGCGGCTGGCCACGGGCTTCCGAAACCACATCTTGAAGAGTGATGCCGAGCTGGAGGTGGACCGACTGGGAGGCGCGTCTGTCACTCCGTATTGGTGCCCGGACCTTCGGCGCTCAAAGAAGAGCCGACGTGAGTTGTTCGCCAT